GCTGCCCACGTGCACTATGAGACCAGGGTTTGGAGAGCTCAGCCTCCCTTCTCGCTCCCAAAGATGGGCCCTTTCTGTATTTCTTTACCTCTGTCCATGTGAGAAAGCAGCAGAGCCTGGGTGCACACCCACAGGGGTGAAGGAGGGCTGGCAGGAGAGATGCACAGTGGTTAGGATGAAGAACAGGAGTGTTTGAAAAGAGGGACGTAGTGGTGAGGTCAAGAGCTTGAGGATGGCCTCCCTCTCCTTCCTTCTATCTCTGCTCATTGCTTTCTGCTTGAAATGGGCTTTTCCTTCTCTGTGAGAAGCAGCGGGTGTTCGATGGGCAGAGCAGTGGCTGCCAGGCTGTGAGCAGAGTGGTGTGACTTGCCAGGAGCAGAGGCACTCGTTTTATTTAGCTATTGTGAGCAAGAGGAAAATGAATGTTCATGGAACAAACACTGTCTTATGCCATCCAAGGTGAAAAGACAGAAAAGAAACCAACAGTGCTGCTTAGGAAATGCTTCATCTGCTGATGTGTGAAGTTGCAAGAGCAGCTACCCTGCCTTGTGTCTGGGAGTTGACCACGTGAGGGCCCTTGATCTCAGGGCTGGTTTGTGTCTTTGACCCACTGCTACCGTGGGGATATTGCTGTGGGGCACGTGGCCTTGCAAGGAGCATGGGGCCTGGAGCTGGGACAAGGTTGGTTTTGTTCTACCCCTCAGCTCACTGAAAAACAAAGAGAAGTTACTTAAGACAAGCTGGCAGTGTTTCTCCTTGCTCTTCAGCATCTTTACCACGATGTCCTGTCCTCCCTCAGGTTATGTTAGCTTCTCAGGAGAGGGGCTTGTACTTGCTTTGTTTCTTAACAAGTTTTTGCAAACTTGGGCACCCATTTAAGACAGTCTGCCCTGTAGGAAAACATATCATCCTGAATGGTCTGTTCTTGGCCATAAGCTAAACCAGGAGGCATGGCTGGCTGCTGTAACACAGAGGTGATATTGAGGTGCCTTGAGGTAATATTTCTGTGTTTTCGGATGTTGTTTTTATCATACCCTTTTCTCCTGCTTTATCTTGTGATGTCTGAAGCTTGTTGTGTTGGTCCTGCAGACCTTCCTGAGAGGACCAAGGACCTAGTATTTAGTGACAGGTTTAGCAGTGTTTATTGTCATGTAGGTTGTTTCCTTTACACTGATGTTTTGTTGGAGTTTCTTTTACCTTTTTCAAGTCACTCTTTTTGTATGATTTATTATTCTTGGTTTCATGTCTATTGAACACAATAGCTTTATGCTCTTACATTCACATTGTGATGTGTTGCCACACTTACACAGGAGTTTCCAAGCTTGCATCTACTATAGAAATACAATCTAGACAGCTGCACCTGAGAGGGGTTCAGGGCAGACCTGATGTAATTTCACTGCGGTCACTGGAAAGCTTTCAGTGGGCTTCTGCCACAGCACAGCAAGTGGCACAAAACTGCGCACAGGGAGTGGGATTTTCAGCTCTGAGTGTGATGTACCACATAGCAAATTCTATAGGATGAGATTTGACTGCTTTATTCTGTCTCATATTCTGCTGTAAAATGTGCTCCCCAGTTTATAGCAAGACTTTTCCTCTCATCTCTTTAAATGTTTTTAAAGATGCTGTGCCACTTCTTCTAGCTTCCTCAAGCTTTCCCACTTCTTAGGTAGCCATTCTTCCCTTAGCCTGACAGTCACCAATTCATAAGGTCCATCTTCCCAGGCCCCAGGGCTGAGCTCAGCCATGTACCACGGAGTGACCAGGCAACAGTGCTCCTCCGCCCCGTCTGCACTTCATTTGTGCATATTGGGCTCTCCTACTACTGTCTAGTGCAGGATGCTGACATATCCACACAGATGGCCAGATTTGATTCTTTGAATGCAGGAGATCTGCTTTGTATGTCATTGTAGTGTGGGTTTCACTGCATCTGTGTCATGTAGAGAAGGACCTGCAAGTTGCTTGAGCTGTCAGAATGCTCCTGAGCAGAAGAATACATCACACTTTGAATTACGATGAAAACTTTCAGTATATGGACAGCTGGAAGCTTTCAGAACTCATTGTCTTATTGAACATGATATTTTTAGGTCTTCATTGTTTGTGAAATCAGTGCACAGCTGATTTCAGAAAAGGAAAGAATTTAACCTCACTTTTAGCTTATAGCATTTTGCTTTGATAAGTACTCCAAGTAAGAGGTTGAAAAAATAAATGTCAAGCTTTTTCATTCCAGGGAAAGAATTCCACTTTTAACAGATGACCTAAATCTGAAGTAACTGGAGCCTGGCATTTTTACTTTCCTACTTCAAACATGCCCTCAACGTATGTGATGCTAACCAGTATTTTCCAGGATACTGACAGTGAAATAACAAGAGAGAAAACCCAAGTCATTGTTTTTGTCACCATTTGCAAGAATTTCACTTAATAAGAATTTCACTTAATAAGGAGTCATTAGCGTGGTGGGAAGTTGTGCAAGGAAAATCCCAGGGGCTAAAGAAAAACAAAACCCACTAGACTGAGTGGGGCTGGCTTCAATGGATTTGCTTCCCAGTACCAAGTGAAGCATCTGCTCGGAAGTGTGGAACTTGCTGTGCCTGCCCAAAGGTCCATCTTGGATGTTGTATGGAAGCTAGTTGGAAAGTCAGGGACTTACCTCTGAAGTATGAAGCCATGTATTTCTTCATAAACAGTGTACTTTATGAGACATAGCCCAGACACTGTGGAGACTCAGGGGTTCCAGAACTTCACCTGAGACCAGAATTCAGTCAAAGGTGTCAGGATTTTCTCATGGCCAGTGACTCCCTACTTCTTTTTCTTGCTACTGCTTGAAAGTAGCAAGTATACTTGAAAAGAATACTTGAAAGAATAAAGAAAAAATTGGTAGCAAAAAGAAAGGTTCTCTATATCATATTTAATTTCTAAACAAAACATTGGAAATAAAACAACTAAAAAAAGATCAATAAATTGTTGGAAAATTGGAAGCTTTCTGGTTGCAACTTTGAGCAGCCATAAGAGAACTTTCCTGTCAGCTCCACTGTTCCCACACTGGGCTTTCTGCTGCAGGCCAGGTGAGAATGCTGTCATCATCCTTTGCCCTTGACTGGAGATCCCATGACCTGTAGTGTTTCCATCTCTAATGTTATTCTCTCGAGGCAGTGTATAATGGAGAAAATACATGCTCAAGCTGGAACAAAGTCCACCACTGCCTCACTGGCCAGGAGTGTGAGTGCAACACACATCACTTCTGCAGTGAGTAGTTAAATTTGCAATATTTGCTCAGTTTCTGCAGAAACCAGCCCAGCAGAGCTGTTCCACAAGGGCAGCTTCTGAACCAACGTGGGTAATGTGTGCAAAAAGAGATGCCATTTTCTGCTCTTGGGGGAATAGATATGAGGAAGGAATAGAAGAATAAAGTCCTTGGACCAGGCTTCAAGTACTCTTTTCTAGGATTGCTGGAATCTAAAAGACATGCAGACAAAAGCTGTGAAGTGGATTCACGTCTCTCATGCCACCTCAGCGTGGGAGAATTTCAGCCCTCTTCTGTAGATTTACTGGCAGCCCCTAACAAAGTCATTTGGCAAAAGAAGTCAGGGCTTTGTATCAGCAGCTGGCAGCTCGCCTCCAGATACTTTCCCTGTGTGAGCATTGTTGGCCAGCAAAACGATAGGCATTGAGGGGCACTGTGCCACCACTGTTTGCAAGCTCAGTTTAGAGTTGCTTTCTGGTGTGTTGAAAGCCTGTCTGTGCTTCCTGGTTGGCATCCAGTGTCTGTAGCAGAGCACACTCTGAAAAGCTGTTTGGAAACCACTTTTCTGCTTGACCTGAGTGAGTCTGGTGCGTCCAAAGGGAAAGGTGTCACACTGCACCTTCTTGGTGGGCACAGCGAATCGATGGACTGAGATCGGCCATGACACCCACAGAGCACACTGCTGCCAAAAAGAAAGAGGTGGTGTGTTAGCACATACCACAGTGACACAGGAACCCACTGGGAACAGCACTGGCTGAGTAGTGTTGGGAAGCCCCCGTGGCAGCTCCTGCACTGAGCCCTGCACTGAGGCTGATGATAAACCTTCATTTCCCACCTCCACCAAGCATGTCAGCCTGGAGAATCTCAGAAGCACCATCTTTGCTCTGACATGATCCTTGTGCAAGGACTTCCCCACGGTGTTTGTGTTCAAAACATCCTTAAGCTTGGAATATGCACTGCCATTCACTCCTGGAAAAATTCAAATCATTCTGATTTCATTTCTGCATTGAACTCAGAAATGTTTGGGGTTTTGTCCCTGTCAGAGCTTTACAAAGTAGGGAAGGGTGGGGGAAGCATTTTAATCAGGGTAAGGCTCTTTGGCATTTACCCTATTGAAGCCTGAGGAGCCTCTGAATTTCTTCTGAATAGAGACCTAAGAAAAGAAGTAGATCTGTTGAAGGACGACATTTCAGTGCAAGAAGGATGTGTGCTTAGGACTTTCCATTACATAATGGGACTGATACGGATTAACATGACCCATGCTTTTTTTTTTCTTGAGAATTGCTGCCTACACCACTTTTTTCTCTGTTACTGCTGCTTCAGGCACAGCACTCACAAAATGGTTTTCTTTGTTACTAGCTAGAGAAGTAAATTACAGCATTGTTTCTGCTGATCAACAGATTGATTAGTCAGAGGCCTCTAGCTAAAGAAAAAGATGTTCCTCATCATCAGTGTTAAATGCAAGGGTACTTGCAGAGAACAAATGAGAGTAGAGAAGCACCTTGCTTATGTAATGTGCTGCTCATAACTTTTCGTGGGTCTCTGAAGGGCAGCCATCTCAGCAGGCCACTGAAGAATAGAAAATTAAATTTCACTGCTTCCATTTGGATGGCTGTAGAATCATGGAATGGCTGGGGTTGGAAGGGACCTCAAATGTCACCCAGTTCCAAGTCCCTGCAGCAGGCAGGGCTGCCAACTGCCAAATCCTCAGTGTGTGTGACCGGTCCTGTTGTGTTTTGTCTGCTCTTTCTCTTTCTAGGTGCTTTCATAATCTGCTGGACCCCAGGACTAGTCTTGCTTCTCCTTGATGTGTGCTGCCCACAGTGCAACGTCTTGGCCTACGAGAAGTTCTTCCTTCTCCTCGCAGAGTTCAACTCCGCCATGAACCCCATCATCTACTCCTACCGGGACAAGGAGATGAGCGCGACCTTCAAGCAGATCCTCTGCTGCCAGCGCAGCGAGAGCGCCAACGGCCCCACCGAAGGCTCCGACCGCTCGGCCTCCTCGCTCAACCACACCATCCTGGCCGGCGTCCACAGCAACGACCACTCGGTGGTGTAAAGGCCCCGCTGGCCCCCCCACCGACGGAGCTGCCGCAGGGAGGTAACCCACTCACAAGATCTTCTCAAACACTAATGGACCTCAAGCGCTTCTTTTCCAGGAGCCCAGTGCGGCGCTGTGCCTCTGCCTTCTGCTTGCGGAAGGTGGAAAAGCAGAGACCTTGCAGCAGAGCTGGCCCCTGGGGAGCCTCGCTGAGACTTCGTTGGCCCTTGCAGCGCCTTGGTGCCAATCTGAATAAACTGATTAATTAAGCTTATACCTGCTTCACTGCATTTACATGTAGCCACTTAGTCTTTTTAAAAAGGGAGTAAAGGGGATAAAAGTATGCCTTTCATTTAATAGACATGTAATATTTATCACCATCAGCATGCTTTTGATGAACATTTTCTGTGCAGGGAGTAAAACTGTGCTGTAGTCTTCGTATCCTTAGCCACACTGCCATAACTACAGTAAGAGCAAAAGTATTTTTTCTAATACAGGCAACGGGAAGATGATGGGAACTGACTCCTTACCTTCGTTACTGGTGTTAGAAAGCATGCATGTTCTGTGTGTATGCGCGTTGTTCTAATTATGGGGGGAAACAAGCGTTGTAAAGTCTGCAGGAAAGTAGAAAAGCGTAGACTGTATTCCAGTGTTTGTTTAGATTATGAAATAAACAGTACTCTAGTCACAAGGTATTTAATGTTCTTCTTTGAAGTGTGGTATGAAATGTGTAACGTGTGAGGGGTCCCAAGTTTTTCAGGGTCAAGTTCTTAAGGCAGGACACATCTCTAGGACTACAGTCATGTTGGTAAGCCTGAAAGAAAAAAGGATTTTTTTTTGCTGATTGAATGCTTTTCTTGCTTATGATGGAAGGGAGTGAGATTTTTGACATGAGAAAAAGCACACTGTTTAAGAAGATACTTGTAATGAGAAACGAAACAACTTCTGTGTCTTGCACTGAGAAATGTTTATGGGGCATCTTTTAGTTTACTTACCTTGCATTTTAAAAGCAGTGGGCTATTAGAAACCAAGGTACAATTATACTTTGTAAAGTCAAGACCAAATATTTAGTAGCCTATTGCAAATGACTGAACTTTTCTATTTATAATAGCCATACTTGCACATTGTTATGAAAAGCTAAGCTAACAGATGGATTTTTTTTGTATGTGGATGTTTCAAAGAGAAATGCCACTAACATGAATGCCACTTCCCAAGAATCAAAGATGTTAGTCAAAATTCCTTGACAGAAATAAACTGAAGCAAAGATGGGACTTTGCAGATAAAGAACTTGGGACCCTTCCCTGAGAAATTATATTCTTCTAACAATGTAAAATATATCAACGGTAAATTCTTAGGACTGTTTTCCTTATAGAAATATGCCTCTATAGCAAAAAAAAAAAAAAAAAAAAAAAAATCTAAAAAAAAAAATCTAAAAAAAAAAATCTCAGAAAAATCTGAGGTGTATCAGTCAGTGTAACGTACTGGAATGTAACATAAGTCACAATATTCTCCCATGTGAGCAGGGAAGAAATGGAGAGGAGAGAATCAACCTACCACAAAGCAGAGTTTTTAGCATCTCTGTTTAGAATCATGGGGGGAAAAAATTGCTTCAAAAAATTTGACTCCACTGGATGAAGTGAGATCTTTGCCACTGCTTTCAGGTAAAACTGAAATTCACTTGTACGGTTGAGCCAAATTTTTAAGAGCAGTGTTGAAGGAGATGTGAGGAAAGGGGATAGAAGAAGCGCTGTCTGCCAGCTGACCGAGGTGTGCTATGTGGCACTTCCTTTGGACAAAGCAGAGATCTTTTTCTGACTGTATAAAAGCAAGTGAATCTGAAGGTTGATTGTGTTTTATTCACATGACTCTACTGAGAAAGAGGAGAACATGCAGAATTAACTTTTTCATTTAAAAGCATCTGCTTGGTGAGCCACTCATAAATGTTTCACGGTGCCTGAGTGATGGTCGGGCTAGTGCAGGTAAGCAGAAGAAAGGAGAGGGGAAGAATGTCTCCACAGAGAGAGGCATCTGAGAAACATATTTTTTTTATTTCAAGAGTGCTCCCTGGATCTAGAGATAGCACCCTTTCGTGTCCCTTCCTTCCACACAAGAGGAACATCACACACACTTTGTTCTGGGGGAGGTTTGTATTTTCCCAGCGCCCTTTTAACTGCTCTTTGCATGTTCTTTTCAGAGTGAGCTGGGAGGGTGATGTTGAGAAATAGCAGTTTCATTCACCCCAGTTTTCTGTGCTGAAAGTGTGTGGTGATGTTGAAGAAGCAGCGGCTGAATAATGTAACCAGAAGCATGATTGTCTGCGACGTGCTGCTGGGTCCCAAGGGCCCACATGAAGATGGATGTCTAGCAAGGGTTTTCTTTTCACATTACAATTGCAACAGATGGCAGATGCTGCCCAGGTACCTCGGTCAGACCTTCTCCAATGAGACACACTGTTATTCAAGAAGCTGGACCTGGCCTTCTTAATTCTTGACAGCAGATAAAATTCACTTGTGGGATAGATTTACCTGGGAGCACTTCTGGCAGGATGTGGCTTTTTCTTGTAGAAGGTGAAGTGCGATGCTTTAGATCAAAGGCAACAAGATGCAAAAGTTTCTTCTAGGATTCCACTACAGGGACTAACTGAGCATGTGGCTGCTGTTTAAAGATTTAATTAGTACTTTGTTTTATTGACATGATATCTTCTCTTATATCCTTGAGAAATCTGATCTGTGGATTGAGTGTTTCTTTGCAAGCTAATGAAATTAAAGCTGCTGTGAGCAAAGAAAATAAAATCAAGAGCTTGGACTAGAAGGATTTTTGCTCTCTTCTTTAGAGTGGCTCCCATCCCACTTGGTTTTGTCTCAGTTTTTTGGTTTTTTTTAATTTTTCCATTCGGGTTTTGCCATCTTCATTATGCAGATGTACAGTTCACTTTCTGTTATGTGAGAACATGGTGCAAAGTACTTAGTGGGAAAAAAAATGTTCCACTTATTTTTCTTATCTCCAATCCTGCAAAGGGCTTTAGGAGACTTCTTAAAATACCAACAGTCCTCCCAAGTCATTAAAATTCTTCTGTTGCTGGCTGCCTCTGGTCCACGTAAAAGTGTTTGTTTCAGCAGTTTTAGCAGTAGGAGTTGTGTATTAACAGCAAAATGGCTGATGAAGTCACTTGCAGGTCAGTGAAAATGTCTTTTTGCTATCTCGTTTATTGAGTAGCAGCACAAGTCTGGAAAGTAATAGAGAAGATTGCTCTTGATTGAGGAATTTTTAAGTAAGTTTTTAATTCCTTGTTGCTATCACAGCCTGGGTGACAGACTGGTTATGGAGCTATTAGTCACAGCATTTACGTGAAAAGTTGAGAGCATTCTGTGGCTGCCACAATGAATTTCTTGTCAACCCTTTTATTGTTCCACATTCTCTGGGATATGTTGGTAGCTTCAGTCTGGCTGCTGATTGGGATGCTGAAAGCTGGGCACATAACTGACATGAGGAGGAAACGTAGACCATTAAAGAGATTCTTCAGGGCTTCCTAAAACCGAGCTCACCTGTCCATAATGCACCAGTAGCTGGTTTATTTAAATAGTTGCCCCAGGGTCAGCTCTTTAACTCTGTCCTCCCTGCATGTGAATGCTGCTGTGCCATTCACTGCCACAAAAGCTGCCAGCAAAAGCTTGCCCTGGTTCAGCAGACATGCAGTAAGTGTTCATGATGCAAATTAAGTCTGGGTGATTTGTGTGTCAGAGACAGAAGAATATATTTTTATGACTGATATCTTAGTTTTGCTTCGTCTCCCAAGTAATTTGTCAGTGTCAGCATAAGTTTCTCCCTATATATCATGTATATCTCAGGTAGCTCCAAGGAGTTTATCTTTTGAGCTGTACATACAGCCACATCCAGCCCAGGTCACAGGAGCAGTCTGCTATTGAAAGCTCAAAGCAGCCCTGCCTTAGGAAGCAGGTTATACAGCTTCTATACAGCAGGTTATACAGACCTTCCCATTGTCTCAGAAGTATGCTAGCAGATCCCAGGCTTAACTACTATAAACCAGCTGGAGTTTCTCTCTGCAATGCTATCACCACCAGCCCTGTACATCTTCACTGCAGTAATTGCCTATGTACTAGAACAGTGCTGTTTTTGAAATAAACACATTCTTCCCCAATGGAAAAGAGGACACCATCAACTAGAGAGACTTTGATACAAACACTCCAACTCTGTCTTTTACTTATGGTGAACCAGGTTGATGCCAAAGTTGAGCAGCAAGGCCTTTTGTCCAGGGCATGGCCTCCACGCTATCACACTGTGTTGAGGTGTGACCTTGTCCTGTGGTACCTCTTGGTCTTTTAGGTCCTTCAGATGGATTAGGGTTCACAGAGATCAGCCTGAAATAACAGCTCATTTTTCTGCATTTTGCAGAAATCACACATCCATACAAATAGGGACTTTTTTTTTGGACAGTTACATGGCTTGCCCGCATAACAATTTGCAAGTGCTGTACTTAACATTACTAAATCAGAATGAAAGCTGACAGAGTAGAAAAGCCTCTGGCACAAGCATTCTTCAGCAAAGTTTTACCTATTATCTCCCCTGAAATCCTTGTAGGTAACTTGAGAAGTGTGGAAAACATAGGTAGACAGGTGAGAATTGGGTGACTGGCAGGGCTCAAAGGGTTGTGATCAGCAGCACAGAGTCTAGTTGGAGGCCTGTAGCTAGCACTGTTTCTTTCGGGTATGTACTGGGTCTGTTCTTGTTCTTTAGCAGGGGGTTGGACTGGGTGATATACATGGGTCCCTTCCAAACCCTATGATTCTGTGGTTCTGGAGGCTTGCTAACTCAGTAGGTACATAGTCTTTACTATACTTTATGTTAGTCTTTACTAACAAAATATTTAAAAGATAGTTGCCACTTTTGTTAGACATGACTAGTACTAACGTGTGACCCCTTTGCTTTGTTCCAAACCTGCAAGTGAAAGAGACAGTAGACTCTTCCACAGAGGAGTCACGAGACCATGGAGAGCTTTGTATGCCCTCACAGTCACCATACTAGCCTCTCCATCTCTCTTTCTCACCAGTTCTTGCAGACAGCAGTCTATGCAGTGCACTGATTAAACTGCACAGAGGGTCTTTGCAATTGCAGT